GAGTTCAGAATGGAGTTGCTTTAATTTTTCGAGATTTAAACCCGGTAGTTTAAAAAAGTTTTCTTTAAGCTTTTCCATTGCACTTGTAGATATTGTTAAATTTTTTGCTGTTAAGCGGTACCAAGAAAACTTGACCCGAAGAAAAGGGAGAGAAAGACCCATCTTAACTAAGATAAAGACACACTGACGCAAAATCAAAACATCAACTCATTTTATTACTTTTACAAACAAAGCTTGTTTTGAATGCCATTAACTACAGAGTCACTTTCCATCGGCTCTTCGTCTTTTCTCACGACTTGTTCAGGGCATTCTATTTCTGCTTTTTGGTCGCTAAATTCCTTGCTCCTGAGGCCATTAGGTCCGTCATGTATAGCACGCAAGACACGACTCTTAATATCACCATCAAAACCATCTACCTCAAGTGAAGCTAGAAATATGATGGTCCAAGGCATCTTTGGTAGCTCGCTGACGTACATTTTCCACGACTGACCAAGCTTGAAACCAAGAGCCTTACACACACTTTCAGCATTGTTGAGGACGGCATTCAGGTCAATTTTTTCCACCACATCTTCCCGGTAGTACAACCAAGAATCCTCTTTATCCATCATAAGACACGAATGTTGTCTTTGACTTGGGTGCTGAATAGCACAGCCGTGACAGCGATTCAACTTTAGTTCTTGAATTAGTTCGTCAACCATATTGGCGTAAGTAAGTTGGAAGATATGGCCGATAAGACTTGCTATCCTTTGCCGTTGAACTTGTTCAACTTCATCAATAGTCAATGAAAGCCCAAGTCTCGAATCAACATGAATGTTTGAGACCATCTTGTTTATACTACTGAATCTTGAGAATGATTTGCTTGGTAAGGAATGGCCATTTTATGTGTTTCGAAACAATTGAAAAAACTGGCAGGTAAAAAATAAACCCTGACATCATCTTACCTGAATAAATATGACATCATCTTGACCAAGTAAGGACATGATATCACTACTCTATTTATAGATTATGATCTCAACGTTTTTTGATGACGTGAACTCTAGGAAATTCTGACGTCACTTGCTCCTTGCCGGCTAAAAATAAACTATGATATCATCCTATCTTAATGGAATGCATGACGTCATCGGCATTAATTTAACCTATGACATTAGCCTGTCTTAATGGCATGCGTGACGTCATGGGCATTAATTTAAACTATGACATCATCCTATCTTAATGAGATGCATGACGTCATCTGCGTTCATTTATACCACTCAAAAAGTTAATTAAATCCACAATAAAAAGGTTAATTAGGTCCCTTATCCACTACTTACGACAAAAGTGCAAATTAATTATCACACTATAAATTGCGACAGTTATTCCAAGTTACGACGACTGAACAAGGTTTTGTATTCGGCTTTTATTAACATCTCGATGCAAGTGAATTTTATAGTTATACTGAAACAAGCTTTTACTACCTCTCGCTTCCTTTCTCTGACAAATCTTGATCAATAAAGTGACAGTCCTTCAAAATCCTTCGATATTTATAGGTACTCCTGTCAGCAGTCTGTCTGTTGCTTATCACGTACTGCGAGTGACTTAATTTGCCTGAGTAAGTTTCCGCCGTTGTCGTTAACCAATCAGATGCCAGAAAATAAAAATACATATCAATTAAACAAGACATATATGAGCCTGCAGAATGAAATCTGCCTGGTATGATTCGTTAAACTTAACGCTTGAAAACTGAAGCTGAAGCTGAATCTAGAAGAAGATGGCTTTCGAGGTCATGAAAAATGAAAATACTTTGTCTGCTTTGTATGATTCCTGTATGCGGATAATGCATTCCGTGCTTAGTTCGCTCAGTCTTCAGCCAAAGGTGTAGTCAACGTCGCAGACTATGCTCACCTGATAGCCTGCGTAGTAAGCGTTTCCCCGGCGTGCGCGGGTTTCGGAGCAAAGAACGAGGAACGAGAGTCAAAACCCGCGCGAAAATCCCGTTCCTCGGTGTCTCTTTGCTCTGAAACAAAACGGAATCGCTTGCTACGCAGGCCTCTCACCTGACACTAATTGGCAAACTCTATGTGTGTTTAATAATAAAGAGTTTATAAAATATTTCATGCAAACGAAAATAGGTAAAAAAAAAAAATTAAAAAAAAGCTCTAGCTACTGAACGGAGTATGCAAAGGTATTAATGAATAAAGCAAGGGAAAACATATACTGATCACGATGTGAAAAAGAAACGTTACGAAGAGAAATGTCGTCTCGGCTCAGGACCGTTGTAAACCTTGAGCTTGATTCTCACAGTCCCGTTGGTACTCGTTATTTTAAGTCAATTTAAATTTATTCAAGATCTTTTTCGTTCAAAAGTCAATTATGTTGGTGGAAGCCTTTAATTGGCGCTCTGTCTTTAAAAATACAATCTCGTTAAGTTTTTAAAGGCAGTTGTCATCAACTATGCAAAAAACACTCTCTTCACGAAAACATTTTGTCTAGTAACCTTTATTAGTTATTTATAAAGCCTTGTTATTTTATAGTCCTTTCAATATACATGGCGCAAGACGCCTGGAGTGTCATGTCGATATCAGGGCGGATAAAGGTTGGGCGGTGAAACGAGCGCGTCCGAGCAAAAGGGTGTGATGCAGTGGATTGGGACTCTGCTTAGAAATGACGCTTGTTTTCGACTTCGGTCAGGGCTTGCGATGTGGTTTGTACATTAGACACTGCCGCTGTCACTGAATTATGGCGGCTTGATTTGTTTTCTTGCACTTCTTCCTCGTTCCTTTGTGCTGGTACGCTGTCTCCGAGAGGCAAATGTTGCTATTTTTTGCGGCAGGTTTAATTGGAGTAGACAAACATCTCTTTCAAAGGGTTTCTCTTTAATATTACTTCCATGGCTCTACCACTGAATTATATTTTCGTTCTACTACTCGCCAATGTCGATGTTATTCCAAAGCAAAAACAACTAAGTACTGTCTAAAACACGAAGAAAAATCTCATCCATGTCATCTATGGCAAAACTAAAAGACAGCAGATCGTGTTTCATAACTAGATGACGTGTATTTTATAAATGCGTGCAGCTCATGCAAGGTGAAATTATGCTAATTTCAATGACCACCATCCTTCTCTTTAATTTTGAAAAAAACATCTCATACGTCTTTCTGTTTCTTCGAAACTTCAAAATTAGTTTCCTCTCAGTTTTTGCTGTTTTCCTTGTTTTGTTTTAGAGAGAAAAACGGAGAAAAAACCTTACAACTAACCTCAATAAGTTTTGTTTACACGCGGTTGCCGGAATTGCGACGCATTGCGGGAATCGCCATGGCGCGTTGCACCCGAGAAGCAAAGTTTGAAGCAGTACAACGCCACTATATCAAAATATATCAATCTAATTTTTTTGTTATGTTATATAAAATTTATCCCCCTTTAACATATGTAAAAATTGAGGTTAAGAAGTGTTAAGTTTTTGCAAACGAAACGGCGAAAGACGATTAGGTGATATTTAGTGGAAGGAGGATGTATTCAACACTTTCAAATTAAACTCAAATTTTGGCATTATACGACCAACAACTTTGACTTATAGGCATACAGACACAAACATATGAAACTGTTTATTGATATTGTTATGAAACGAATTTATCTGTTTAACATTGTAGCCTGAAAATACAGAAAGAAAATAGGATTTCCGGTTTGCAAGAAGGAAAATTTCGCCGGCTTTCAAGCGCACCGGAAGCGCGGAAAGAGCGCTCGTGTCAGTCCTACTCCGCTTCACACATTAAATGAAGAGCGGAGCGCTCGTTTCACCGCCCAACATTTATCCGCCCTGGTCGATATGCTATTTAACAACAGTTCTCACTGTGCCTTATCAACCAATTGACAACATTGTTTAGTTAAATGTCTTATTTTGCATTTTTATTTCGTGTCGCTAAATTTGGAAGGTTTTATCATGTAATCGGCATGCAATTGCAACGTTTTTTTTTTTTTTATATCGTCCCAGCTACGTGCACCTCGTCTTCCCATTTGCGGGTTGAGCCTCTTGAGCAACCAACCATCTTTACATTTCATAGTCACGATTTCTGCAAAATTTAAAGGAAAAATATCCTTAACTGGATAACCTTCACCCGGGCGAAAAAGAAGGCGATAAATTTGATAGCTACCTTCCTTTCTCCATAATAAGTCATTTTTAATTACATTTTGGGCGATTTTTATCATTTCAGTCACACCTGCATGCTGGACTGAACTGAAATAAACTTGCACGGAAAGATTACAAGACTACTACATTTCTTTGTGTTTTACTCACAAGGAAATTATTTCATATCTCAAGAAAATCGTACAGTAAATCTTTTAGTTCGGTTCAGTAAATTCTAGGAATCTACCGCCATTAACAGAGTTGATTACGAAAGCTACGCCAAGCCTTTAAAGTCACCGAAACTCGAACTTCTGAACTTGTCGATCTTGTTTTCTCTCGTCAAACAGCTGGAAATCAGCGTATGGACATCCGTTTCAGATTGATAAACCGGCGATCGTCATAACCGATGAGCCCGCTGTACAAAGCGCACGGGTATTAAGCCTGGGTTCCAAACTGTATCCAAGCAACAAGCAGCACATGCTCACGCTATCTTTGTTACTCGATTGATGCAGAGTCTTGTTTGAGTATGCCAAAATCAAGCAAGTGAAGCAAAGCGGTCTTTGGTAGCAGGGTTTGAACACAAAATTATACTCTACGTCACGATGTGAAATTAAAAAGTTCCATCCAATAAGAACTCGCGTCTCACACCACCTGTGAATCTTGATCTTTTATTATAAGTCCTTCCTCACATGATCTTATATATTCTCTCTATTCTCCAAAGGTTCTTGTTTTCTCTCCTAACGCGCGGCCATTTTTTCCAATTTTCAATTCACTTTGAGTCCAAGCGTCGCGTATAGATTTATCAGTCTTAGCTCAAGCCTTTCACACTCGTTCATATCAGACCTACATCCTACAAGAATGAGTTACGCACGTAAAGTCAGGTCGGCTTTAGTTAACTTTTTTATTTTCTATAAAACACAGCGCCGACAAGTCTTTTAAACTCTTTCTTTATGTCTCTTTTGAAAAAAGCATAAGCCAGCGGGTTAATGGCTGAGTTTAAAACAAGGATAGGAATTTTGTAGTTTTCATCTTTGCATGGCCATGAGCCCGAGGTTTTCGTAGTCTGAAATAGTAGTACAAAACCACAACGTAAATACATCCCATAGCAAACAAGAAACACTCCTATCACAATACCCATCATTATTACTGCAGACTTCTCACGGTGGGTTTTAAAAGACACCTGGTGGTTAAAACGTAGCTGTTTTGCTAAAGTGCGTGCTGACTGATCATGCCTGCATACATGAAATATCATTGATACAAAGCAGAGTATTAACACAACACATATAAGAAACTGGGGAATTATGATCAGCCAAACAAAAGGACAGGCCTTGTTTTGAAATAAGACAATACAAAGGGTATGTCTTAGCGTAGTATAACCAACTGGCAGAGCCCAAGAGAAGAAAATAGCTTGGGTAATTCGACGGCGAGTAATAAAAGTAATGTATTTTAGAGGATGGACGATGGCAAATAAACGCTCCAGTACTAAACCGCATAAGTTTGCAGCAGACGTGCTACTAAACAACAGCCTAATAAAACGTTGAGGCCCGTCGCAGAATTTTGCAATGTCGCAGAAAAACAGAGAAGGAATAACGATCAAACCAACGAAGAAATCCGCCACGGCGAGTGAAACAATGAACGCGTTGGGTTTGGTGCGGAGATTTCGTCTGCTGCAAACGAGAAAGATTGTAAATCCATTTCCAATGATGGTCAGAAATGAAAGAACCCAGCCAAGAATCCAAAACCAAGTCTCCATCTTAGCAGTTAAAGGAAGTTCCTCTAAACTAAAGATTATAACTAACATCCCTGTTTAAATAACAGGGTCACATTAAATACGTGTCTTTATTTCAGTGTAATAACGGACAGGGTCCTTATTATAATGCCAAAAAAAATTAGTATCGGGCTAAGCTATAACAATTGATTTGCATCAAGAAGAACAATAACTACTTAATTTTTTTGTGTGTGTTAATAAAGAAACTGCATGATTCTAAACAAAGAAAACAGGTGCAAAATGTTCTAGTGAATTCTCGTTTTGTTTGTGGTTGGGCTGCCTAATCATTCTAATCATTCGTTTGAGAGGGGCGAAATGAACTATGATAAATTTTTATAGCTGTATCAGCAATAAAACATGCATTTTTTTTTTTTGTCCTTGACCGAGTCATGGCTAGTTATTTTACACCTCATGTCAGCAGAGTGACGTTCTGACGATTTATTTTCAGTTATGCTGGTTCTCTACACCTGATCTTGACCAATGAACAGGCCAGGGCAACTGTCATTTTACATATAAGACCATTTACACAATAATTATACTAATGAAACTGACAGTGGCTTCCGTGAGCCGGCAATCATCGACGGTGCTATATCATCAGTTATTTTTGGTTGAATTTTAATTATGGAACGCCGTAAATTTAAGTCTTAATTAAAAAGGATCCATCAACCACGATTCAAGACCCGTAAAAACGCAATAAGCAATCATTATGCTGACTTTCTCAGTATAAATGAAAATTTTTGGTAAGAAAATTAAACATTCACGGTTGTTTGTCTTTCGAGGTTTCAGCAAGAAAAGTTACCCAGAGACGTTTATTACGACTAACGGTTAAAAGTTTCCACTTTTACTTCTGACGACTGAAATTTGTGGCTGTTTTACGGCTAACGGTTAATCCCATCGAGACCCTCCTAAAAGTAGCAGCATGAATTAACCTGCCCTTGCTTTCCATTTGGTCAGGGTTGAAGCCTATTGTTATGCATTTAAAAAAAATTTTTCTGAAGAAAAAGGCTATGCTATCGAGAGGCTCTGGGGACTACCGTGTGGCACGAAATTTTTGCGGGTTCTAATTTTTGCGTTTTTGCGATTTTTCCAGCGATCTGCAAAAATAAGTTCCAGCAAATAAAAATTACCGCAAACATTTTTCGCGCAAAAATTTACTCCAGAGTAAATATTCTCTAACTTAAATTCACTACACAAAAATACCGTACTAAGAAATCGTGCCTGTTTAATTACAACTTGCCTCCTTAATAGGATTTTCAGGGTCAGTACTTCCCAAGTTTGGGCATCAACTTCGTCTCCATCAACAAGGGTTTGGAAAAATTAGATAAAGATGGAAATCCTCGGTCAAAGGAAATGTGACCTAGGACCAAGGCCCTGTGTCCACTCTCGAAATCACAGTGGCCTGAGAAAGAAGATATTATGGACATGGGGCGAGAAAATACTTATTGCCAGCAACTTGAGTTAGGATATTTCGATTTTAAACTTTTACTGAGGTGTAGCGAGGATAGAACTTTGTAGCCTGAATTTCATCCGATTACTTCGAGTCGTTATTACTCCCTCAGTAACGTCTAAATCGACCGGCCGTTAATGCCGTCCAGTGACGTCACTCGCTACCCGAAAACCAGGTAGTGATTTTGATTGGTTGATTGTGTAAACATTTGCATAATTATGAATAATTATGAAAAATTTTAGCGGGATTGTCGCTTGATATTCAGCGGATCGCATCCCTGGCTTTCCTTCTGTAGTTCAAACAATTCGATAAGCTTAATCTTTATCTTAAACAGCAAAATTGCCCTTGTATTCGAAACTGAAATGCTAAATTGAACTGCGAATAAAGAATCATTGCGGAAAGTCGGTAGGTTTTTCATTTAGAGCCACTTTGTGGTTTCGGCGGCCGGTGATTTTATTTATGCGAAGTTTTCAGAGATCAATGTTATAATTCAACCTTCTTGCTATTTTCACCGTCAAATGTAATGATTCTGTTAGCTTTTCTTTCTTGTTTCCTTGTTTTTTTTCTTCGTTAAGGACCAAATAGCTTCTTTTCAATTAAAGCAAATCATTGTGTTTTTGAACTAAGTGTTCCGTGTGTGTGTTTATTTCATTGCGTGATTGCGACTGAGTTTGATTATAGAACTAAAACCTGTTCAGAGTTATACTGCGAGCAGTTGATATAGTTTGAACGTTAAACATGAATTACGATAAAAAAAAATAAAGCAATTCTGTATCATGCAGACATTTCCAAACGATATTTCTCGGTTTCCCACTTGAAAATCGTGCTTTACCCCAGTTTTGCATGAATTAAGGCAAAAGTCAAGGACTAGTGACGTCACTGGACGGCATTAACGGCCGGTCGATTCAGAGGGAGTATTAACGACTCGAGGTAATCGGATGAAATTCAGGCTAAGAACTTTGCCTTTGGTCGAAAAAATCTGCGATTCGATGGCGGTTTTTGCGCCGCCAACCGTCTTCTAGTAGACAACGTCCGGACCGCCGGGTGTTTTTCTATACACTTAGCTTTGCTTCGTCTTATCAAGGGAATGACAGGTGTCACACAATAACAACCAAAAAAACGACTAAATCGATGAATTCACACCCCCAAAACACAGGAATACATCAAAGGTAAGTCTCCTTTATTTATTTTATAGAAAAACCTGAGGCAAGGCAGACCTCACTGTATTATTTCTAATACAAAGTCTGAACGGTCGCTTGTAACGCGGCATCGACTCTCTTGTGAGAAAGTCTTAGAAACAATTCACGCTGGTGCGTTCTCATCATTTCAGTTTTAATTATTAAGACAATACTTTTTTGAAAAAAAAAAAAAAAAAAAACTCTATAGAGGGACGTTTTTGAGCAGGGAATACGTTAGCACAGAATTTATTTGTCGGAGAATTTCTGTAATTGTCCATCGTTCTGTTTATTTAGTGGGAAGCTAGCCTTTGATTCACTCGTCTTACTTGTTTGTGGACTGAGTCTTATTCTCCCAAAGAGAGAGAAAGATTTTTGGCAAATTGTTTCCAATCATAGATTTGTGTATAATAAACTCGTGTCTGGCAAACTCTCCAAGAGTTTATACGCACCCCATAACTTCATCCGCCCTCAACGAGTGTTTTTTAGTCCATACTGACTTCCAAAAAAGGTGCTCCAAAGAATGTCACTGATAACACGTAACGTAAAAGAGTATCTAAGTACGACTATACAGTAAGTGTCACCGAATTCAACCTAAGCGGTCCCTTCAGGATTTTCTGTTTTACGTAACCCTAACCATCTCTTTCCAACGATTCCATGCAGCCGCTGATCAAGCAAATCGAGATCAGTTTTTTCAGGTATACTGGCTGTATATTCCAACTGTAAGTACTTTTCTATACGCACGAGCTACTAGGATGCCTCCTCGGGATTTGGCCTTCTGGGCGAAATCTTTGGTGAGGCAAAAATATGGCAAGCACGTACGTAGAAGGCTTCACTTGGTTGCCTTTCTTTAAAAACATATTTATAGGGATAAGTCTTCTAAACTCTTTCTTTACGTCTCTTTTGAAAAAAGCATAAGCCAGATGGTTAATTGTCGAATTTAAAACCAACACAGGAATTTTGTATTTCACATCGTTGCATGATGCCATTCCAGTAGTGTCGAACAGTATTAGAAAACTACAATGCAAATACATTCTGTAGGTAATAATAAACACTCCTATCACAATACCCATCATTATTACAGCAGATTTCTCGCCGTGACAGGTTTTAAGAGACACCCAGTGATGATTATATCGTAGCTGTTTGGATAAAGTGCGTGCTGACCTATAATGCGCGAAATACACGAAGTATCATTGATAAAAAACTGATTACTATCAGCGTAGATGATAAAAAAAATTACATCCAGCCAGCAAAAAAGGGTGGTTAGTTTTTAGACTAACACGAAGTGATATCTGAAGCACTTCAAAGCCAGCTGTTGCAGTCCAAGAGAAAAAAAAATAACTTGGCCAATGTAACAACGAGTCATCTAATTAATGTTTTTTAGAGGATGGACGATGGCAATAAAACGATCTATTATAACTTCCAATTTTTTTTTTACGCTATTTGTAATTAGCCATGCTGCCGAATTTGTAATTATCCTTATTTGTAATAAACGTTAGCAAGACAGAAAATGTGGACTGTCACGAGGGAATAGCGTAAAAACATCTGTCCATAAAAAGATACCACGCGTCAGTCACGTGAGTTACCACTTTACGGCAATTGTTAATTTGGTTCGCTAAATATTGCGACGTTAATGTGTTCTTAATTGCGAAAGTTCTTTATTAGAAACTGCGACAGGAGTTACAAACTACGGCAAGAGTTAAAGGCAACTTTCATTAGAAGAATTTCTTTCGTTTCCGCCATCCAATCAGAAGCGAAAAGGTAAAATTGCATATCAAAAATTAGAAACTATACATTTATATGAGATTCAACATGAAATTAAACTCAAAGCAAAGAAGCGCTTGAAAACTTGGCCTTTCACGACATGACAAACAAAAGTACTGCATCTACCTTACCTGTATGGTCATTATGACAAATATTTCTCATGCTGAAAAAACAATAAAATTCAGTTCCGATAAAAAGGATACGAATCTTCGAACAGTTCATCGTATGAGAAGTACAAAACTATTGACACATATAGAGATGTAGTGACCATATGGAGCATGATCGTAAGCTTATTGAAGTCTGGTACTTAAGGTGTTTCGAGACAGTTTTTCAGAGGCCATATCGATATTTTTCGATCGCCTTAAAAGTGTTTTTTTTCTTGTCCGATCGCTATAAAACAGTAATTTGCCATGGATTGAAATTTGTGAAAATGTACTTTTAAGTAAAATCGATATTACTACGACAACAATAAACAAAAAACTTTGAAATTGATAAAAGCCGAATTTTGTGTGATCTAGACCAGCTACTGAAAATCCAGCGCTAGGAACTTAAAGTTTGTTGTTTAGCAAACAATCCCCGTAAGAAGTAAAAAATTCTGT